TTTGCAATGTCAAATTCAGAGCATTTCAGAATCACAGCTTCTGAAATTGACCCATAGTCTCATTTCTAACGGATAAGCCTTTGGCCTTTGGCCAGTGCAGTTTAACCTACGGCTAAAATGACTGCACTGCTTCTACTTGTTTCTTTCTTGTAACCAAACCTATCTTTGATCAAAGGCCAGGTTACATAAATTTGTTCTGCTTCATCACGCTCATTGGATGATGCTTCCAAATCTTCCAATCTTATCTGCTTAAAAGTAATAAATAATAATTGTGCGCTGTCAAGTCAATTCTGACTTACGGTGAACCTTTTCAGGGTTTTCTAGGTAGAGAGTATTCAGAAATGGTTTACTATTCTCTTCTTCTGGGGAATGCCCTGGGACTGTGCACCTTGCCCAAGGTCACACTGGCTGGCTCTTCTGGGATGCACAGTGGGGAAATATCTGGCTCGGCAGCCAGAAACGTAATTCACTAAACCTAAAATTTCACACACCCAAGTTTCTTGCTAAGCTTCGCATGTTGTAGCTCTTATGGGCTGTCACATTGCTTCTGACTTATGGCGATCCTATGAACGTGTAACCTCCTAAATGTCTTATCATACCCAGTGTGGTATAGTGAATATACTGATGAACTAGGACTCAAGAGGCCTGAGTTTGAATCTCTGCACAGTCACGGAAACTCACTGGGGGTGTGGAACTGGAAAAGCCACTCCTTAAATATCTCACTTACCTTGAAAGCTCTATTAAGGTCACTATAAGTCAGTTCCAATTTGACAGCACAAAACAACAATAAAGGACTTACCTCTAAAAGCCAAACTCAAGACTGTGGCTTCCTTTACTATCAAGCGAATGACCTCATTAAGCGCTGCATAAACTCACACCAATCTACGCCAGCGGTTCCCCTTACCCTGTTTCTGTTGTTGATATGTCTACACAGTTCTTCAAGTTCTTTGTTGCCCAACAAGGGGTCCCTGGTGCCTGCCTTGTCTTCTCTCAGAGTGGCTGCCAACAGCAGTCTGTGGACTATTATATCAGCATATCTCCTAATGGGTGAAGTGAAGTGGGTGTATTTATCCAAAGCAAGACCTAAAGAAAAGGAGAGCACTAATTTACAGGAAGTCCGTAAGATAACAGTGGAGATGTCAGAACGTGGACTTAAAGACACACATATGGGAGTAAACGAGAGCAAATACCATAGTGTGAGAATTCCTCTTCAGGACAAGATCCAGTTGAAAAATAGACAGCATTGGACATTGCCTGAGTGGCCATTGATCTCAACAGCTTATTCACAAGAGGATCCGAAGGGTCAACTGCTCTATCCAAGGAGTCAGCTAGTGCCTTGTTAGACCTATAAAGATCATATAGTTCGTCAGCAGAGAAGACATTAAATTCATCTGAACTGTTCCGCAACATGGAAGCTTGTTACTATAACTTTTGTGGTGCTAACCTCCAACTGTATATGCTAAGGTAGTAGTCCTTAAGCCCACCTGCATGCAGTGCCAGTTGCTGCAGATCCAATTCTATACTTTGCTTCTTTAATGTCCAATGGAGAGTGACCAAAGACTTGTGAGGTCTCCAAGCAGCACTGCTTTTTAGCAAACGGGCAATTCCAGAGCTTGGGTTTTCCCCTTCTCACCTGCCTTAGAGCTGTGTAATTTCCCCCCCAGAATTCACTCGTGACAAGAGGATTCCAGCTGAGTGCCCCCCACTCCACCAGATTACTCGAGCGGCTCTTGGAAGAAAACAGCAGAACTCTCCCCCCCCATCTCTAAATCAGGGAGCAGACTGGCAGGAAAGAGAATCCTGTCCCCATTCCTCCTCAGTCCCAAACATCTTATATTGGGGGGGGGGCTGTAAAAATACCATGAAAAGCAGTGGATTCAGAACTTTGGGGGAAAATGGTGCAGTTCAGCCTTTGAAGAGCCCCCATTCTACTTACCGTGTATCTATGACGAAGCCCTTTGCACTTGCACATTCTTGCAGCTGAGAAAAAAACTCCTGCCGCGGTGGTGGGTGTTGGCGCAGGAGAGCCTGGTGGGGGAAAGTCTCCCAGATAGTTTTGGCCACCCAGTGATTTGCAAGGATCATACACTCTGCAATGGTCTCGTGAATCTCCAGTGGCTGCCGAGGGATGAGGTCATCGATATTCTTTTTATCATCCAGCTGAATTCTGACCTCAATCCCTTCCAATTCCAGTGCTCCACAACTGTCTCGTTTGGCTCTAACATGCCGGGCAATATCCGTCAGCTTTCTTATTGCCCAGACCAGTTCACTTAACTTCTGCTTTCTTGCATTTTCATCCAGTTCTTTGAGCTCTGGGATTTCATCCGCTGTGCTCATGTCTCCCTCTAGCAAAGCCTGGGCTGCCTCATAGAAGAGCTTGTAGGAAGAGCGAATAATGGTTCGGCCATACGTAACCTTTTTTATTTCATAAGAATTTTGGTCAAGTTCCCAGATGACGCTCACCGCATACCTTGAAAACAAACACTGCCATTTTATAAGTACATATACTTCTGAATGTCTGATCTCTGCAGTATTTGGGACAAACAGAAGCTAAAGTCCACAGGATGTTTTGGTCTCTTCAGACTGATGTTTTCTCACTGCATAGGATTATGGTTCTCAACCTTGAGTAACCCAGGTGTTCTTGGACTGCAATTCCCAAAAGCTTTCACCATGAGCTGGGCTGGCCGGGGTTCCTGGGAGTTGCAGTCCAAGAACATGTGGGTTACTCAAGATTGGGAATCACTGACATAGAGCGCGGGATCTGTCAGCAAGACAAGACCCATTTTCATTCGTAGTGATTAGAAAAAGATGAAATTAATCCCATGTTTCCACCCTCATATTATTTACTCATTTATAGTGGCAAGAAAAGACAACAGCTAATAATTTGATAGCTGTACAGTGGTGCCTCGCATAGCGAGGTTAATCTGTTCCGGATTAACCTTCGCTATAGCAAACCTCGCTGAACGGAATTTTAAAAGCCATAGAAACGCATCGAACTTCATTCAATGTGTTCCTATTGCTTTAAAACTCACCGTTAAGCGATGTTCTTCCATAGCGCCGCCATTTTCGCGCCCTCGGTAAGCGAGGGCAGGGCGCGAAAATGCGGCGCGGACCTTTCGGCGGCCATTTTGGAACCGCCGATCAGCTGTTCTCCCCCGCTTCATTATGCGATATTCGCTAAGCGAATCGCTTAGCGAATATCGCAAAGCGAAAAAACACCATAGGGGCCATCGCTGAGCGAATGCTCCAGCGATGGCCCAGAGCCCCTCGTTAAGTGATTTCATCGCTCAGCGAGGCGCTCGTTCAGCAAGGCACCACTGTATTTTAACAGGTATCTGTGATATTAATGAAAAATATGCATCCAAGTTCTTGGGTGTTTATTCTTTGCAACATTTTATGTTGCTCTCTTAGATATAACATGAATATTAATTATGACAAGATTAGAACACCATAAGAGGTTATTCAGAAGCACATTTGCCAAAGAGGAGTTGTTGTTGTTGTTGTTACAGTAATATGTCACTGATTACAATTTATGGTGACCCTCCAAATTGTCTACTTTGTTCCTACTTCGGGCAAAGCAGCCATGAAAGAGTAGCATGATTGCAGCTTTGTGATTGTGCACCCCTTTCATCGCTGCTTTACCCACTTCCTAAGCCCTGCGGGTTGAAAGGGCTGATTTATGGTGACCCTCCAAATTGTCTACTTCGCTCCTACTTCGGGCAAAGCGGCCATGAAAGAGTAGCACGATTGCAGCTCTTTGTGCAGCCCTTTCATCGCTGCTTTTCCCACTTCCTCAGCCCTGCGGGTTGAAAGGGCTGCACGACCCAAAGTAAAGCAGCCATGAAAGGGCTGCAGGATCGCAGCCCTTTAATCGTGCAGCCCTTTCGCGGCTGCTTTACCCACTTCCTAAGCCCCACGGGGGCTTAGGAAGTGATCACTGGGGCTTAGGAAGTGATCAAGCATGAAAGGCCTGCATGATCAAAGGGCTGCAATCCTGCAGCCCTTTCATCCCTCCCCTCTTACTTCCGTGTATAAGATGACCCTCAATTTTTATTCTATTCAAGCATGAAAGGCCTGCATGATCAAAGGGGTGAGATCATGCAGCCCTTTCATCCTTCCCCCCTTACTTCCGTGTATAAGATGACCCTAAATTTTTACTCTATTTTTAGAACAAAGTATTGTCTTGTACACGGAAAAATGTGGTAAATCCTCACAGTGGTGGTTTGCGACTGTCCAAGGCAACACTAGTGAGAGGGCATGTCATCCCATCAGCCGCACACACTTTGGGTGACCTCAGCTGGGCTGCCAACCAAAATGGTTTTGAACCCAAGCTGTCCGCGCTCCAACCCAGTAGGCTATTATCGCTCCTGAAGGTACTGGGTTAGAGAAATGCAAATGTTCAAAAGCTTAATGCTTAAGAACTCACCTGTCAACATTCCCCAGAAGAGAGCATAAGTTGGCACTCAACACTGCAGGCAACATGTCATAACGACGATCAGCTAAGTAGCAAGTTGTGGCTCTGAAAATTAGAGAAATATTTGTTATGATACACTTGCTACTTAGTAAATATGAATGTCTATTCTTTTCCAATTAGTATGGACCATTTTCTAATAAAACATTTGTGTAAGTATGAATTTAAGTGAAGCTAATATATGGATGAATAGCAAAGTTTCCTCTACAGAGGCTAAATGGTGAGGCTACTGCTCCCAGGAAGCATTGCAGCAGGAAATGAAGGCCTATAAACACTCCCCCACTCCCCGTTTATTGGATTCTCATGTGACTCTGCTTTCCAACTTCCCTTTTCATCAGAGGCGGATGGGCCTCCATAGTCAGAGCATGGTTTGGTAGGTATTTTGGAAGTGTTTCAGGGAAGATGTTTTGACACTGTTGTTGTTGTTGTTCACCTCAGAACCGACTATTGCTCTGCATTCGATCCCAATATTTTTGTATATTTCTGTATATTTATATATATATTTGCTTTATTTGTGGCTGGGCTTTTGACCTCAATAAAGTTTTATCTATCTATCATCAGAGTATGTGTAAGAAAGACAGCTAATGGACTGTGCCTTGTAGGACCAAAAATCTCATGTTTTCAGCAAGAAGGAAACGTACCTCGCTCTTGCCTCAATATCCGTATAAGAATTCGCCACCACAAAATGTGTCACATCTGCAATATGAACACCCAGTTCCAGGTTTCCACTGGGCATGAGTCTAACAGAGAGCGCATCATCAACATCTTCACAGCCTTTGGGATCGATGCTGAACACTAGATGAGAATCCCGCAGATCAATACGTTTTTGCTCTTCTTCAGGAGCAACTTTCCATGGCTTCTCTGGGACAACAACTGGCATTTCACACATCTGCAAGAATAAACTCCCTCTCATCAGCAATTACAAATGGGGGGACAAAACCCAAAATTTATTCATGCCCTCTCTGCCAGCCAGCTAATCACATCTGTAGTACAACATAATCAGTTTCTCCCCTATTCACAGGGAAATTACAGAAGATTCCTCAACGGAAGGGGCAAAATGTTTGCTCTTGTAATTTGACATCCTAAACTTGGTACTTTTAAAATACAACTCTGCTTACATGACACCTATTAAAGCAAAAAAGTCATTAACAAGGGTATCGCGTTATGCAAACACAGAATGTGATGACCAAGGGCAAAATTCAACATCATACTGTGAGGGAGACATTGGAGAGGGTTCCTCAAGCAGGCACTCCAGAGGAGAGAGAGAGGGAGAGAGACAGAGATAGAAGGGAGCAAGTTGGGCAGTCAAGGACATAAGGGAGGTGATGGAGGAGGCGGATTTGGCAAGATGAAGAGAAAAGACAGGGACTCTCCTTTCGGAGGAGGCCGAAGGAACCTTGGGAGAAGCCCAGCAGGAGTGGGGAGAGGTATTCCAGGGAGAGGAGGATGAAGAGGAAAAGTCAAAACTAGCCAGGGAGTGGGACTACGTACATGATTCTGGAGGACACCCTGGACCAAATCCTGGTCAAGGTAAGGGTACCCAAAATAAAGGGTGCAAAGCACTAATACCCCAAGCCTATCCCTCACCTACACGACCAGGCAGGGGCAAGGCCCTCGAATACCATTGAGCAGCAGCCCGGGAAGGCCAACCCCGATGCAGCAACGATGCTGGAGGCAGCAGAAAGAAAATCTATGGCAACTCCAACGAGACAGCCTCCTGACTCTCCCAAAGCCTGGGCCCCCGGTGCCAAGTGCGATACCTGCCCTGCCCTGCCCTCCCTGGGGGGCTCTTGGCCACGGCTTTTATGGGCCTCAAGTTTTGGCAGCTCATGGTGCTTGCTAAAAGTGTGCCGTCTGATTCCCCCCCCCCCAAGTGCAGTCAGCTTGAGGGGGGGGGGGGGGAACAGGGTCGGACTAAATTGAGGCTAGTGGGTTTAATTAGATCCAAAGAAAGCCGGAGGTTTGAGAACTTGTTTAGAAATACTCCCCAACCCAGTTGTAATAAATCCCATTTTGTTCAAACCACCTTGTGCTGAGTTCATGGATCTAGCAATGGAGGAGGAGCCACCTCCTGACCCAAAGTAGGGCTGGTTGGGCTCACAGGTGCATTTCAATTTTTTTAACCTTTTTTAAAAAAACAAGTTTCTAAACCTCAGCCACAAGGATGTGTTTCAAAGTGTACAGACAAGGGATGGAGACTAGCTGCAAATGTCAAATCTCAGGGTCCTGCATACATTTTTCTCCCAGTCTATGACTACTGGAAACAGAACACCATCTTGGAGAAACAGATATACAGCTAATTTGTACCATGAAAAAATATTGCAAAATCTAGAAGTTTCTTGTTTTATTTTTGAAGTTGTGTGGATGGTTGGTTCCCATGCACAGTTTTGCATACACCCAGCACTGACAGTTTGGTATATCTGTATCAAAACTACTACTTCATTTACTTATCATGGCATCACACTTCCACAATACATGTCGCAAACCCATTATATGCAATTAAATAGACTATGCTGTACCATTTGATGTTATTTCTAAACTACTTACTACAAATAATACTATTACAGTCTATTGGGCAAGTTGTTAAAACAAGCAGACAAATAATCAACACTCACTTGTGCTTCAGAGAAAGGACTAACAGAAATGCTGTTTTCTACTAAGATGGTTTGAATTTCTCCTTCGAGATCCCCTATTCGTCCCAAAACCCGCAAAAAATGTCCATTTGGATACAGTGATGTTGACTCCCAAGAATCGATACGTACGATAACACGGAAGTCCTGTTGCAGAAACAGACAGTATATGAGAACGCCAAAGCAACAGCATACATCGTAGCAGATAACAGCCGGAGGATATGTATGCCCCAAGTAACAGTTTACCTGGAGTGCCTCAGCCTGCTGTGTACTAATTCTGATCTTGGGAATCCGGTAATCCCAAGGTGTCACTAGGATTTTCTGTACATTTTTGCCATGCGACTGGCTCTCTTCTTGAGATGGAAAAGTGACCACATAATCACGCCAGTTCTTCTGTATGATGCCAACAACTTTACCTTTGAAAGAGGAATAAATAGTTGCTTATACAACAGTAGCAAGAAAGAGAAGTAAAACAGCGCAACAACGGAGCTTTAAGAGACACATCCATTTACAGGAAGATCTATCAGACCCCTGAGGCAATAAAAGAATTGTTAACATGATATAGCAATCAGAGGAAGTCTACGGAGTGTACTTCTAGGACTAGATGGCAACTTTAGTGCTGCAGTGCCTTTTAGACCAATAATTTATTCCCCTTAACTACGAACTTGCTTTAAAAATGGTATTTTCTGGATATAGTAGGCCCAACGGACCCAGATATGATTTACAAATCTCTGCTCCTCTTCCATAAACTGATTGCCACTAAAGCTGCAAGCGGAATACTGTGCTGTGGCTGCTATGCCTGAACAGCATAAGAGCATATATTAAGTCAAGGTGGGTGGGTGACAACTTGCTAGGCATTTGTTCTGCATTGGAAATTAGGTTGTCAGAGAAAAGGAAGCTTTGTAAACGTTCTTCTTCTCTCTTCCACTTTAGCATATCATTACCCACAGATGTGCAGTGACACATAAACATTTCCACAATTTTCCTAGCGCACATCTTTAATAGGAAAGCTAGAAGCAGCGGGGGAGAAATTATAAAATGGGGCAACCTCTGTGTTGCAGTTCCAGAATACTTTTTTGCCCAAGATCTGAAATTCCGCAAGATACTCAAAAAGTGACTGTTTCAATACAAACAAATTATTTAATTAAATATCACAATTAACTTCCAATTTGTGTTCATTTAATCTGGTCTATCAAGGGAGGGATTGATTCATCTGAAATGCGTTGCTGGAGGAGAGCTTTGTAAATGCCCTGGTCTGCCAGAAAGACAAACACAAGGGTCTGAGATTAAATCAAGCCTGAACTACCTATGGAGGCAAAAATGTTGAAATTGAAGCTGTTGGGCACATCACGAGAAGGGAGGATTGCCTGGAAAAGACAATAATGCTGGGAAAGGTGGAAGGCAGCAAGAACAAAGGAGCACCAAACACAAGAGGGATTGCCTCCCTAAATGAAGACACAGACTTGGGTTTACACAAATTGAGCAGGGTAGTTGAGGACAGGACTTTTTTGTTACTCACTCCTAGGGTCGCCATAAGTCAGAGGTAACTTGACGGCACGTAGCAGCAACAAATCAAGGGGCCTTTTCTACATTTGTTAATCTTGGGAAGGCGGTTGGTGATGGCAGCTATCACATTTTTCTGTTTATAAGACGAAGACGACCCCTCCCTTTTCTAACACCAAATTAGAAAATTTGATCCCTGCTTTTCCCTTCCTTTTGCTAAGCCACGGAGCTTAGCAAAAGGAAGGGAAAAGCAGGAATCAAAGGGTTCCCTCTGACCGCCGCTTTTCCTTGCCTTTTGTGAAGCCACAGGGCTTAGCAAAAAAGAAGGGAAGGCTCCCTTCGGGGAAAAGCTGCACAATCGCAGCCCTTTGATCCTGAAGCCCTTTCATGGCTGCTTCAGGATCAAAGGGCTGCGATCGTGCAGCCCATTCACGGCTGAGTTACCCGAAGGGAGCTAAGCCCCACGGCTTCGCAAAAGGCAGGGAAAAGTGGCTGCCTTCCATGTATAAAAAGGTAAAGGTTCCCCTTGACAATTTTTGTCCAGTCGTGTTCGACTCTAGGGGGCGGTGCTCATCCCCGTTTCCAAGCCATAGAGCCAGCGTTTGTCCGAAGACAATCTTCCGTGGTCACATGGCCAGTGCAACTTAGACACGGAACCCTGTTACCTTCCCACCGAGGTGGTCCCTATTGATCTACCTGCATTTACATGCTTTCGAACCGCTAGGTTGGCGGGAGCTGGGACATGCGACGGTAGCTCCCTCCCTCGCGTGGATTCGATCTTACGGCTGCTTGGTCTTCTGACCCTGCAGCACAGGTTTCTGCGGTTTAGCCCGCAGCGCCGCCACGTCCGTATATAAAACGACCCTCAATTTTTTGTCTAATTATTTAAGGAAAAAGTTTCATTTTATACACGGAAAAATAAGGTAATCTAAATGCAAGACCTGCACGCACAAAAAGAGTCTGGGCTCTAACTGTACCTGTGGGCATCGGCTCGCAGTAAACCTCCCCTGAGGACTTGTCTTCCATTTCATTCTCGCAAAGAGCAGCCGTTCGTCCCTTCCATTCACTTTTAGGTAGTAATTCAACTGCGACGACATCACCGTGGATGGCCCTGTTTCGGGCTTTCGGGCCATAAATAAGGACATCAGTTTTGAGATCTGGGTGCAAATGACAACACAATGAGAGAGAGCAGGCAGCAGGTCCACATTTTCTATCTTCAGCGGCAATCCTCTTTCCCAGTTTGTCACAGAAAATTGATTTTGTGCTGCACAAGTACAGCTGGAATCCTGGGCCAAAAAAATGCACTGGACTTTTCTTCAGTTTTCTGACAACTAATGTTCTCAGATGATCCACCAACATTGGTGAAATCACTCTCACAACTCAATATGAATAACACATGTAAAGTTCTCCAACATATAAACTATAGCCAATTTGTTAAAGTAGCAGATGAATTAATAAGAGTAATATTAGTAACAGTAGCGTTAAAGTATTATAGTATCAGTAATATTTTATATTAGCCCAAGTGTCTTATTATTTTTATTTTCTTTCTTAAAAAAAACATTTTTGCAAGACATCATGCTATCGATTCATGCCACAGTCAAAGGCTTCTTTTTAAAATACAGATCTGAAAGTGAGGTGTTGCTTTATGGGAAGCTTACAAAAACTTTTAGAGAGCATTTTCTGGACACCTCCCTCCAAGCACCCCTTCTTAGGGGCTCTTGTTGTGCTGAAGGATGCAAAGAGATTAAATTCTGGAAATAATGAGTTAGTTAACATCTTTAGTTTCGTTTTAAAAACAAAGGATAAGCCAACTAATATAACTAAACAATACTGTTTTAAATGCAACATTTCCTATACCTTCTCATGTTACTTTCATAATATTTTATTCTCCTCTTTAACATGGAAGTACCGTGTTCCCCCAAAAATAAGACAGGGTCTTATATTAAATTTTGCTCCAAAAATGCATTAGGGCTTATTTTCAGGGGATGTTTTATTTTACAGTCATGTCATCTTCTGGTTGCTGTACAAGGGTGGATTAATGCTAATATGCTGAATCCAATGTGCTATTTCCAAGTAAGGAAACAGATCTAATTCTGAGTACCTGGAAAACGAGTGACTACAGACAACTGAAATCCAATACAATACCTGCTATTACATAATTAAGAGAAATAAAAATGTTACCTAGTATGAGATAGCAGCTGCCCATTTACCAGCTCCCAATATCTGGCCAAGCCGCTCTAGTAAAAGGGCTGCAGATAACCCAAGGAAGTGAGCCAAGCCATGCATTGATGAAGGTGAAACCTGCCAGGTTTACTCTCAAAGCTGAAGGTAATGAACTTGTTCTTACCTGTGTCTTTGTTGCTAGCGCCTTGAAGTCGTACAAAGGCTTCTACTTGTGCTCTGTGCTTATTCACATTAAGGACCCCCTACAATAAATTAAATTTGGAATAGTGAAGAACCAATACACATATATGAGCCTGTGTGTACTTCAGTTCTATGTTTACAAAGGTCTGAGACTGGGGCCATCAACATGGTGTTGACAGCCAACTGTTTTGCTGATCAACTCCACTCCTCTATGGGTAAATGTGACTTTCTGAATCCTTTTCTACCGGTTTAAAATCTGGTTTTGAAACAGAAACTATCTTTACTGACCTACAAGATGAGAGAACACTTTTGGTTCTCTTCGCTTTCTCAGGTACTTTCCAAACTATCAACCATCACGGGATGTCTGAAGTGGAAGCACTGGTTGGCAGTGGCTCCTCTTCTCTCTGGATAACTCATTCCAGAAGCTGCAGTTGGGGACCACAGCGCATGGCAGTTATGCTGTGGAGTTCCACAGGGCCCCATTTCATTCCCTCACGCTTTTCAATATCCACACAAAATCACTGGAGCACATTCTCAAGGAATGTGGAGTGAGATGTCTCTCATTGATAGCTAGATGAGAGGCAAAAAATGGAGGCTCGGTCTGGACAAGGTTTTATTTTACAGTCATGTCGCTAGACAATGATAATCTATTCCACTGAAATCACTGTTGAGCGAAATTATCGTCTAGCGAAAAGCATTTCCCCATTGGAATGCATGGAAATCTGTTTAATGTGTTCCAATGGGGAAGAATTGTTGTTGTCTAGTGAAGATCAGCCATAGGAAAGCTGCTTTGCAAACTGCTGATCAGCTGTTTAAATAGCTGTCTTGCGAAGCTTAGGTCCCGAAAACACCTGTTTTGTGAGCACGGAGGGAGCTGTCAAAATCGTTGTCTAGCAAAAATTGGTTTGTGAAGCAGGGACCAAACATTGTCCAGCGAAATTCCCCCATGGGAATCACTGTTTTGCGAATCGCTATAGCGATCGCAAAAAGTCAATGTCTAGCGAAAAAACTGTCATGCGGGGTAACTGTCTAGCGAGGCACCACTGTACTCTTTGTAGGCAACAGACCATTTAATATGCATTCAGCTTGTTTTGGAAGGAGGCTGAACTCTCCCTAAAGAATCAAGTTTATTGGGTGTTGTGGGTTTTTCAGGCTTTTTGGCCATATTCTGAAGGTTGTTCTTCCTAATGTTTCGCCAGCCTCTGTGGACAGCACTCTGAAGATGCCGGCCACAGAGACTGGCGAAATGTTAGGAAGAACAACCTTCAGAACACGGCCAGAGCCCGAAAAACCCACAACAACCATTAGATCCCAGCCGTGAAAGCCTTCACGAATAGAATCAAGTTTATTGTTTGAGGCGTTCTTGGATGAATCGCTGTCACGAGATACGGGCGCTCTTCATGACTCTAGCTTAAAGAGAAAGACTTGCAAGTTTTATTCAGCCACCATAACCATTTTGATTACTGCATGGGGCTACTCCTAAAAACAGTGTGGAAAGTTTGGTTACTCCAGAACAGGAAAACTAGATTACAAACTGGGTCAGGCCAACGTTCTCCCACACCCATACCAGCAGTCTGCTTCTCAGCACAATCCAAAGTCCTGGATTTAACATCTAAAACTCTAAAAAGCTTGAGGCTGCCCACCTGAAGTGCCTTTTCCCACATCCACCTACTTAGACCTTTAAGTCTTAAGTCTATGGTCTTTCTCCAAACACCGGAACTAAATAAGACAAGCTGGAAGCAACACTACAAGGGAAACAGCAGTGGCCTTGCTTGCACTTGTACAGGCCCTCCTCAGACAGACTTGCTCGAGGCTCATGTTACAGCATTTTAATGCCCTTTTTATTCCTCAAGCATTTTAAAAACCATTTCGGTCCTTTTCATCCTCTCCACTTTTTTTTCCTGGTTCTATTGTGGGTTTTTTTGCAAGCTAACACTTATAATCTCTGATGCTCGTCTTGCTTGGTACAATTTTATGTCTTACATCTTTGCATGTCCTTGTAAAGTGGCCAAGGAACTTGTTTATTGAGCGATTTTCAAAGTAAAATGCATTCATAATATCTCCTTTATATTATGGCTCTATAGGGGTAATAAAATGCATAAACAGCTGTGCCTAAGACCAGTGGAGGACTGGATGTGAGCCAAGAATCTGAAGCTTCATCTAAACAAAGCTGCTTTGGGGCAGAGCGAAAAAATGCCAGTCGTGGCGTCTGATCTGAAGCTTCATCTAAACAAAGCTGCTTGGGGTAGAGCGAAAAAATGCAAGTCATGGCATCCAGTGGTTGCCTGCACTTGCCCTAAAAACCTGTTTTCATTTTGGGAATTCTCTTGCACCTAGCTCGATATTTCAGGACGGTGGCTACAGGACGGAGCACCACAGTCCAGGTTGAGTTAAAGTGCTAACTGTGCCTCTACCTGGAGAAAGCGGATCTGGCCATGGTGACCTACAGCTCAGTTACCTCTTGGTGGAAATCTAGTATTAAGTCACGACTAGAGTTGGCCCATTGAATCCATGATCAACACCTATGGAAGGTCCGCTAATTGAACAGGCCTCCTTAATACTAGGTTTCAATCACTGTCTGGAATTCTACAGTGTGCTCTATACACTGCCATTCTGAAAACACATTCTGAATTTTAAGAAGGTTCAACGTTGTGACCACAGCCAGCTCTCCAAATCATGTGCCACATCCACTGTTCCAGGAACGCTGACTACCAGCCCATTTCGATCACTCTGAAGCTCTCAATGATTTGAAGCCAGGATGCTTAAAAGACGACCTGCTTATAGGATCAACCTGGCCCACCCTTTAAGGCAGCAAAGGACTCTCTCCAGCACAACAATGGAAGGGAACGTGCAGTCCTTTGGATGTTCTTGGAAAGCCCTTCTCATCGGCTCCAGCTAACATAGTTAATGCTGAGAAATCCTGCAAGTTACAGTCCAAAAGTGCCCTATATGTCCCATCCTTACTCTAGTGTATTCTATCCGTATCTCAAAGGTGAGTTGTGTGTGTACTGTGGCTGCTCCCTAAATGCACAATGGGCTCTGCTCCACACTGCTGCTGTCCTACCCAATTTGTAGTAATAGACCCTATTCCACACCTTCCCTCTTATGCACATTGTGCATGAGGTTCATGTTCTTAAGCCAAACAATATTCCAGGATACTTCCAGGAGCATTGAAAATATGGCTCACGTTCCCTGCAGGCCTTCTTTTTAGGAGATGCTCTTCTTCTTTGCCACTAATCTGACAAATTTAGTAGAGCTGGCTGGCAACAGGAGGTAGCAGAGGCCTCCAAAAATCGATAAGGTGTCTACATATGGCCAATCCCTGCTGTATCTAAATTGACTACTGTAAAGCACTCTATGTGGGGCTGGCCTTGAGGCTGACATGGAATTTTCAAGGGGTTCAAAACGCAGCAGCCAGATACATGGTCAAGGTGAAGAAATATGACCATATCATCCTAATCCTGGCTAGCCTGCGTTGGTTACCAGTCCACATCGGTACTAGGCTTAAAGTGCTGGTTTTAACATATAAAGCCCTGAACAGTTTGGAACCTCATTACTTGTCTGAGTGTCTCCTGGCAAGCTGGACTGAGACCACGCGCCTCTGAATATTGACCCATTGAGAGGCCTGGGAAACAACAAACAGGATCCGGGCCTTTTCTGCTGTGGCCCCTTCCTTGTGGGATGCGCTGCTGAAAGTGTTACGCCAGGCATCCTCTCTCCATGCCTTAAAAAAAACACGACTAACAAAGAGCTTTTAAAAGAAGCCCTTGAGAAGGTTCTCCTCCATTGATGAAATGTGTGGAGGAGGAGGAAGAGGTTTTCTTTGGCCGCCTGACAGTTTTTTGCCACCTCTCTTTTCAAAGTTTTCCCCCCTGTTGTTTGTATTTTAGAATGTGTTTTATTATTTTTGTTTTACTTTCTGTACACTGCCTAGAGTGGCAATTTGCTAGATGGGTGGTATAAAAATTGAATAAATAAATATATCTGAAGCAAAATTTGTAGAAATGCAAGAAAGCCTTTTTGGGTCATGTCCATATTGTGTTGGAAGCTGCCCAGAGACCCCTGCAGGGTGCAGGCAGCATACAAGTTGAATGAATGAATGAATGAATGAATGAATGAATGAATGAATGAATGAATGAATGAATAATGGAACTCAAATGCCCCAGGAAAACAATTTGATGTCCTCTTGAACAACTTTTTTTCTCACTTCTTGAAGGCTCATTTGTTTTGGAAAGCATCGAATGAATGAATGAATGAATGAATAATGGAACTCAAATGCCCCAGGAAAACAATTTGATGTCCTCTTAAACAACTTTTTTCTCACTTCTTGAAGGCTCATTTGTTTTGGAAAGCATCTTATAGTCCACTAGCTAGCCTGGTTTATTTGTTATAATTTGTCTGCTGTGCTCATTTTATTGCAGCAGTATCCTAATTATGTGACTTTAAGTGTTTTTATATTGATATTTTGTCTTGTTAGCTGTACTGGGGATCTTTGAATTGAAACGCGGGGTTTACATTAATTAAAATAAAATAAATAGGTTGTGAACACAATGCCAGATCTCCCAAATGATGGTTTTATTTCCCATCAACTCTGTAATGACCTATAAAGGCCACTGTAGACATTATACTAACAGACTAATTTATCTCTTTCCACAGAGACAATGCCCATTTTATGATGTCAGAGCAAAAGAGCTAGGAAGAAACAAAATACTGATAAGAAAGAATCTTATTTGCAGGATTTCTTCAGAATTAACTGTTCCCTATTTGTTTTAACTGTTTCACTTGTGAAAGGAATTGCAATCCACTGAAATTAAAATGCCACAATACATTTGGTTTTTATTTTTATTATGTTTTTCTCATATAAATTTAAAAAGACTAACACGGCAACCGCTTTGAAAACTGTTTTATACCTGTGCTTTCACCACTGAACACTTTATGGAAAGGAAGTACAGAAATGTTACCAATCCATCCTTGCTTTTTTGTTTCGTGTACAGTGGCGCCTCGACTTAAGAACTTAATTGGTTTTGGAACTCCGGTCATAAGTCGAAGTGGTCGTAAATCGAACCACCATTTCCCATAGGAATGCACTGAAATGCAATCAATCTGTTCCGTCCGAAGAAAAAGATC